TCCCCAGAGAAAGATACTAAGTTACTAACCTATCACAACCTCACACTGTTTCATCATTCCCTGAGACCTATCATTGTTGACTTAGGCAGCAATCAACTGATCAACCAAATGCCAACAAATCTTATGATTCATCTTCCAAGATGCCACCCTCACCAGAAACGGTCACCACCTCACTCTCAAAGTCTCCTGTTGAAAGTAAGATAGGTGACATGTCCGCTCATAATCTACATTTTGTAAATTACCATTTCCTCTCTGATCACCATCTTATTCTCTGGTCATTTTAAATTTTCCGTCTATTTTGGCATCCAAGCATGATGATTCATGAACTGATAACTCCATTCGCCAGGAACTTAGGAATTGGTTCCTCACCACCCGATAGGACAGTGGTTGGTTGTATGGGGTTTGTAATGTTGAAATGGAATCAAATGGTTAAGTAAATTGGCCCAAGGTATAATACATGCTCTCGGTATTGATTAATAATACTTTTTGTCGGGGGTGGGTCTTGGTTCGAGTATTCTTAACTCTGGCTGCTATGTAAGATTGCCCCCTTTAACAATTAGGCATAATGAATGGTTTGATGCATGGGAATTTAAGGATGAAGTTTATATGGAGCAACCCTTTGGGTTAGTTGCACGAGGGAGAAATATTTTTGTAATCTGAAGTGCTCTTTTATGCACTTAGTATGACAATATGCCTGGTTTGGGTGATTTAGTGCCGTAGTACAAAAGTTTGGGATGGTAAGTTAATTACTCGGTGTTATTCAGATATTTTTGTGGTAAAAGCATTTACATTGTGTTCGTTGATGATATTGGTATAACAAGAAAGTATGATGAAGGGATACTCCGGTTAAAGTAGCACTCATTCTGGCCTGTTCTATTCACCTTTTAGTTCCAGTTATCTAGAATCCGTTATCCAAGTATGATGAAGGGATACTCCTATGTGATTTTATTTAAATAAGTATTTTTTCTTTAAGTTCCTTTTTTTGTTTTTTTTTTTTTGAAATATTTAAGTTTCTTTCTTTAGTGTGCTTGTAATTTCCTTTTTTTAGTGCGCATGTAAGTGGATTTCCCGTAAGTTTGTTTTTTTCCTGCAATCGTTTTTCTGTAAATTCTTCTTTTTTAGTATGCTTGTAATTTTTTTTTCTCAGATTTGTTTGTTATTAATCTGTTATTTCAGTTGTGTACATGAATTTTTTTATTAATTTTGACTTCAAAACTTTTACATTTTATAAATACAAGTATTCAATATTATGTTTTTTTAGGTTTCTTGACAGATTATTTAAATGTCAGACCTGGCATGGAAATATGTCAGACCCTAATTTTAAGTCATTAGGCAACGATGAACTTTTTTGCATTTCTCGATTTAAGTTCATCGTAGTCACAAACTGTTTGTATTGATTCATGCAACTTTTGTTATGTTTGAGATCTTTTAATTGCCAATGTTTTTTAATGTGTATAGATTAATCATGTTACTAATAATGTTCTATATTCATATTTAAATATGTTATATTCATATTTTTAAACCTTAAAATTGAGGCTTACGCCTCAATACGCCTTGAGGCTTACGCCTTATGCCTGCCATAAAAACGCCTCAAAACCGCAATACGCAATTTCGAACATTGCTAGAGACTAGGAGAACTATTGTACTTGACGATTACTCGACTCATTTTCTCATTTCTAGTGTGGTAAGTTAATTCTTAACATGCGAAGGCCATTGTGTCAGTCGTCAAAATCCTGAGATATTTAAAGAAATCCCGAGGACATTGTAGCTGTATAGAAATCATTGCTATGCCAAAATTGTAGGATATACTGTTTCCGTTTGGGAAAGATACGTTTGGGACAGTCAGGATGTTGTGTCCTTGTTGGATGTAATCTAGTACTGGGTATTTTTGAAGTGCAAAAAGCAAGATCTAGTTTCCTGGTCAAGTGCAGAGATCAAATATAATTTGATGGCTCTTGGAGCATGCGTGTCATTTTTGGTTGAAACATCATCTTACTGAGATGAATTTCAATTTTGGATCTATGAAGCTAATATGCGATGATCAAGCATCATTGCGTATTGCATGCAAACTCGTTTTTCATGGAAGGTCGAAATATATCAAAGTTAGTTGCTACTCTGTATTTTATTTGAGAAAATATTACTTGAGGGATCATCACCTTTTTCGATGGAACAAATGACCAGCTACCTGATATACCCATCAAATCTCTTAGAGGACCAAGAAATATCTGTGTGTGCGTGTCTGGGTGGGGTGGGGGGGTTATGAGGTGCACACTCCAACTTGAGGAGGAGTGTTGAGTAATTAGACATAGAATGTTCCAGACTTCCAGTCATATAAAAAAGCTTAGAAATCTGGTGCATGACCGAATATTCTTGGTATATCAAGAAGCTCAGGAGTCTTAGTTCACACTGGGGTCCACATCAGGAAAAGAAGAGTCACATGTGTTTATATATACTACTAGCAATCAATTTTAGGATGCATGAGGATAATATTTATTTCACCTCTCATATCCTTTATTTTCCACATCCCTAAACCACCGGCATGGAAAGATGAGTCTAATACACAAGAAGACATACACATACGAGAGCAATCACTACTGTAGTAACTAGTAATGCATGTGCATGAACCACAATAATCTATATTTGATAGAGAAGTCTGGTATTTTGTTAAGTGTATACATCAGTCTTTTTTGGTACCGCTTCCATATAGCATGTGTACTTTGCTCTGTGAATTTGATAATGGTCAAGAATTTTGGTTAACAGCGAGATGCTGCTACTGCTCCAACAGTGGGTGATAGAGTACCTTACGTCATTATCAAGGGTGCTAAAGGTGCTAAGGTAAATTTTCTAGTAATCTAGTACAATATTTCAAAAGTTTAACATTTCCCTAGCATTGGCTATAATCAAGCTTAATTTGTAACATACAGGCTTATGAAAAGTCAGAGGATCCTATATATGTCTTAGAGAACAACATTCCAATAGATCCACATTACTATCTTGAGAATCAAATTAGCAAGGTGAGTATGCCACTCAAGAAATTTTACTTCATTGTTTATACTCAACTTTAAACTAATGTGATGGCTGTGGTCTTTGTGCAGCCACTTCTAAGGATATTTGAGCCCATCTTGAAGAATGCCAGTAAAGAACTTCTGCAAGGAAGCCATACTCGATCACTCTCCATTTCGACTCCTTCCAACAGTTGGATAATGAAATATGCCGAAAAGCAATTAACTTGCCTTGGATGCAAAGCACTAATTAGGTACTCTCATGTACATTAACAAAGATCATTTGTGTTCTTCAATCTGGCTGGATCACATGGATGGGTGATCTTTAATTTTTTTTTTGTTTGGATTAACTTTTATGTTCATACCATCCATTCCCACATGCATGCTATAGGCCATTGAGTTTACTAATTGTTCTTGTGCATTCAACCAGTGAATCTGATAGAACTCTCTGCAAACACTGCAAGGGAAGGGAAGCTGAACTTTATTGTAAATCAGTTGCAAATGGTATGGAAGAGTTATTCAGTTTGTATGTTTTTATCCATCTGAACCGCTAGATGGACAGAAATGCTGTTAACGGTTATTTTACTTTTTATTAATTAAACCATTTGTAGTTGCTGAACTGGAGAAGCTTTTCGGGCGGTTGTGGACGCAGTGCCAAGAGTGTCAAGGCTCCCTTCACCAGGATGTGCTGTGCACTAGGTTTGTTTTTTTCCCGAAGTCTTAGTTATCATTATTATTTTGGATATTATAGCTTAGTTTGCAAGATCTTCCCACTTTTAAATCTCAATTGTTAGAAGACTTTGACTCTAAACGGTAAATTTTTTACTGCAGTCGAGATTGCCCGATCTTCTATAGGAGGAAGAAGGCACAGAAAGACATGGCGGAAGCCAAGACCCAATTAGATCGATGGAGCTTCTGAACATGCACCATGAATGTTACCCATGCGGCATAATCCGTACAGGTGTGGTCGCAAGTAGTTGAACAGATCTGAACTCTATCTTTTTTTTTTTTGAGGAAAATCTGTACACAAACTTGATAGTGTAAGACTGTAGAGACCACCTGTAAGTGTTAGGGATGTAAAACCGGAAAAGGCTCAAGGCCAGTTAACCTCAACTTACCAATTTTATTCTATTCTCCACCTTATACAGACATACTATACATATCGTCTGGAAAAAAAGATTTTTTTTTGAAAGGCGTACCAAGAACTTCACATTTTCTTTATATGGATTTCCATAAAAAAGTTTACACTTTTTTGTTAGAGAGAAAAGAGTCGAAAGACTGTCCTCCCTTGTATAATTAAAGAGGAATGTGCTTATATAATACTCCGTAGTCCTTGCTATTTAGTGCAAATTTCACATAATTAAATAGTGCAAATTTTATTGATGGCAACCATAACTGACTTTTCTAATTGCAGTCCCAGGGGTTGGGTGTTGAACTATTGATAAACTACATTTATTTCGATTTTAAAATAAAAAATGTGAATATACTGTAGCAATAAATAAACCCAAACTGAAAATTCCGAAGGAAGACAACATGATCATATTGAAGAGTAGAAAGGCTGATGAAAAAATGTAGACTAAATTAGTTTTGGACCCTCACCAAATGAAGAAATATCATTTATGAAGGAAATCAAGTTGAGATGGGAAGATCTGCCTTTTTGAATCGCATTCTTTGTCGCCTCACCCAACTCCCCTATAGCTACTTTCCTCCTCTCACTCCCATCCCCATCCATTAGCTTCCCTATGCCTCCTTGATCTCCTCCTTCCTCACCACCACCCCTCCCCCACCACTCCCCTTCCCCTCCCACCTCGCCGACACCTTGGCGAACAGCGGCCACGTCAGCATAGGCACCTTCGCCGAGACGGCTTCCAGCGCCGAGTTCCACCCGCAGTGCGTCAGGAACCCTCCAGGCTCCCACCGAAGGGTGGAACAGGATCTGGAGTTGCGGGGCCCACCCCCGCACCAGCACCCACCTCCTCTCGCTCCTCTCCTCAAACCCGTGGTTCGCTGCCCAATCCTCGAACGCATCGAGCTGTTCGTCCGACCGCTCTCCCCAGTGCCCAGACGAATGGTTGGCCCGATGACTCCAAGCCTAAAGCCAGCTCAGCCATCTGCTCCGCCGTGAGTCGGGCCAAACTTCCAAGGCTGACGTATATTGTCGACTCTAGGGCTTGGAAGTCAAGCCACTTCAAGCAGTACTCTCTCTCTAATTCCTCATTGCCCTTCTTGTTCTTCGCTTCACCAGCTTCGACTATATCTTGATCCTGGATGGAGGTCATGTTAAGGACAAAAAAAAAGAAAAAAGAAAATAAACATTCGTACTCCCTTTGTCTTTTAAAATGTTCTTGTATTCACTTTTATTTTACTAAGTTTAAGGAAATGTATTTTGCTGTTGAGTTTTTTGACATTACCTTTTTAAATAGGAACATGATCTAATTGCTACAATGATAGTAAATACTCCGTAGTACATATGTTGAAGATTTAATTAACAGTCGTAATGGATCTTGATATATAGGTAATTCTAATGAACTTAGAAAATATTTTTAAGGTGGATAATTAAAGTAAATAAAGTTTTTTACTCCTAAATAGGATTCTCTTTGTCCCAAAATATTTGTCTATTTTAACTATTTACATTCACCCAAGATAGACACTTGACAAATGTTTTTAGCACCGGATCGGACTGACTGGTTTAACCGGTCGGACCACGACCTGGTGAGCACTCCGGTCTGGTTCAAATATAAAAGCTAGATCTGCATTGACCCGCCAAAACCCAGTTGACCCAGAAGAACCTGTGGACCACGTCAACCCAGCTGACTCGCGGTTTCATCCAAAAGTATTTTTTTCTATAAAATATAATGATGGATATATGGCACTAAACTTCACCATACAACTCTCTAAGACTATAACAAGTTAAGCAACTCAACATTTGTCACCAAAGTCATGCAGAATAGTATATATAGTGTGTGTCTTTTATTGGTGTTGAGTAAATTTAAAAAAACTTCTTACCATTTGTAAGAAAGAACATTTTATAATCTTTTAAAATATTTTAAAGTAAAAATTAAATATTATTTTTGTATTAAATAATAATGAATAATTTATATGTAAACAAATATTATCATCTATAAAATGAAAAATATATACGGAGTACTAATTATAATAAAATATGGAAAGTGTGAAAGACTATAAGAACAGTGACATTGAAAATAACATGGAGAAGAAAAAAATAAAATTTTAAATATTTTATTTAATATTGAGAATAATATTTACATCTTTTCTTAATATATGTGTTCAGTTCAAATGGAAAGATTAAAGTTAGAAGGAGGGAGTATATGTGCTTCATATTATTTAGAAATAATAGGCATATTAAAGTTATGTGATAATATTTTATTATCTTAAAAATAGTCCACAAAACATGGTATTATTTAAATTTTTATTATCTAAACATAAATATGAATATTATATAATAAGTAATGGGTCGTTGACTGAGTCGTTGACCCAAGTCAACACGGTTTGTCCGGTTGAGTCTTGACCCAGTGGCTAATCCAGTTTGATGTTCGGTCCGCTTTTCAAAACATTGCACTTGACTTAAAATTATATAAAAATCACATGTTTTAATCAGGTAAATCAATAATGGCAATTAGTATTATATAATACGTACAGTAATACACAATTAGCATTAATTCTATAAAGACAAACTCCCTTAGTCCTGATTTGAATTAATGATGGTTGGACAACATTATTTTTAATTCAATGGAAGGAATTTATCTAAACAGTACTAAAATATAATGACATCTCAATATAGTATCATATGTTTTTATTTTTTTATGTAGTACCACTAGTCATTGTCCACTGGTCATTGTTCAAGTAAATGTCTACTGCCATTGGACACTGTTCAAATAAAATGTTTATCATCACTAGACACTATTTGAATACTTTTTAGGGAATAAAAAAACTTAAGTACTATATTGGGAAATGACATATATTTTATTATTATTTAGTACAAATTTCACTTAAATGTATTCTATTGTAGGTATACACTTTTAAAACACTTGAAAATTTTTATAGAAAAGAGATGACATAATTGATTTATAATATGAAACCAATAACAAAATTAAATGAACAAGAGTGAATTCTCAAAACGGTCCTTTCTAATAAGGTATTTTCCTAAATTAGTCCTCAATAAATAATAATTACCAACATCATCTTTTGTAAATGAGATTTATTCCCTAAATAGTCCTCCGCTAAAAATGACTATTAAATGCTAGTCAAATAGAGGTTATTTTGGTATTTCCTATCATATAGATTTAAAGTATGTTCTCGAAATGCTCCTTTAATTTATAATTAAATATTTTTCCAAATTGATAATTTCTATGTAAATGGTTTCCCGAAACTAAGTCCATGAGCCTACTCGGGGTGGTTCGTTCTTCAAGAAGCCACCCACTTAATTTCAAGGGGTCATTTTGAGGATTTAATTTATTCATAGTTTAGATGATGAAAATATAAAAATATCATCCATTTAAGTATCATTTAATATGCATTTTTGACAGGAAGAACATTTAAGGAATATATCTCAATTACAAAAGACTATATTGGTAATTATTGCTTATTGAAAATTAATTTGGAAAAATACCTTATTAAAAAGAACCGTTTTGGAAAAATACTCAATAAACAAAGTGAATAATGGTCCTTACGTCATAATGTCCCATTTGAATCTTTCCCGTTTGCATTACAATGTTTGACCAACTTTATTTTCAATTCAATTTATTTAAATGTAAAATTAAAATGTGAAAATTATATATAAAAAACTACATCAAAAGATCTACAAAATTCTACGTGAAATGAATATTTTATTTTATCAAATGAGAAACAAAAATAAGTAAATAAAGTGTATAAAGTTTGACCTTGTGAATAACGTATGTAAAGATTCAAGTGGGACTGAAAGAGTATTTATTATGTATATGGTTAAACTTCAAGTGCGTTCTTGGCCTATTTGAAAAACAATAATATAGTGTCCTTTTGATGTAGTATTTAAATACTCCCTTCGTCCCACAAAAAAGTTTCCATTTTGACCATAAATTGGTCAAACAGTTAAACGCTCTGACCATAAATTAAATATATTTTAAATAAAGAAATGCTAAAAAAATTTGAGATATCAAAACTAGATCCTAATATGAATCCAATTATATTAAATTTATTTTAAAATTTAATATACTTTTTCTCACAATTTGTAATCAAAGCGTATAAATATTTGACTAAATACTATTCAAAATGAGAACTTTTTTGTGGGAAAGAGGGAGTATAAAAGTGTACGGAATATTTTTTAATTCATTAGCAATTCTCAAATTCCCAAGTGGTCTTTCTTTTATGAGTACCTTTCCACAAATAGTCTTTTTTTTTGAACTTCTATCATGTTGGTGTTAATTTGAGGGCTAAAAGTGTAATTTCGCAATGATAATATATCTTTTTTGTCATACACAATTCCAAAGGCTGTTCCGTTTGCATCGTTTGTAAATTACAGTCGCTTTTTACAACAACTATAGTCTACAAATGTGATCTTTCGTCAGAATCCTAGCCCACAATCATAGTCATTATTTTTGTGTTATTTGCTTAACCAATATCAGAACACGTCACTAGACATAATGTTGACGTCAAATTATACTTTTAGCCTTTAAATTAACACCAACACGATAGAAGATCGAAAAAAGGACCATTTGTGGAAAGGTACCCTTAAAAAGGATTACGAGTGTAATATTTGATAATAGAGGACTAAATATGGAAATCTCACTGGGCTAATTATGGAATTTGCAAATAATTTATGTCGAGCTTCACAAAACAACAATATTAATTTGGGAAGGGAGCTAGATTTGTGGTGGTGGGCAGGGAGTGTGGCATAAATGTACGTACCTGGAGGGGCAGGTATTGGTGAGTGGAGAGAGAAACCCTCCAATGGTGGAAGCCCTTCTTATACTCCTCCACCACGTATTCCGCCTCCAATTCATATATACAAACTGTTCACAATCACGCCGTGGGCTGAAACCACCGTCCCGACACTACTAGAAAAGAGACTTTTAGTTTTAGGTACGAATCAATAATGAGGGGTAGTAAAAACTCTCAATTAAATGTGTGATTTATATGTCATTTATGACGGAAAAATATACCGTAGTTAAATACTTTTACTTTTAATGACCAAATTTTTTATTTTTCTTTTTAATAACAAAATACTCATTATAAATATAAACAATATTAATACTTTCACTAATTGTCCCAAAAAATATGATTTATTAAAAATGTATGTTCCCACTTGCATAGAAACTATTATCAAAAACAAAAATATAATCCGTCAAAATCCAGACTAAAACTCTGTATTCCAACTTCGTGTTTTGGCCAGTGCAATGACGAAGATGATCGAGTTGGCCTAGGGTTCCCGCTGAAGGATTTCGGCGACAAAGGCGTTTGGGCCAGCAAGATCACCAACTTCTCTGAGTACAATTCAACTACGGGTCTTTATCAAGTAGATCTTAGATCTACGAGACTTCTCCTTTCTATTCTAGTTTATACTTGGATTCTTCTTGGATTTAGAACAATTCCCACAGAATTTTAACGATATACTTGGATATATGTATGATTCTTTAGTTAAAAAATGGAATTGGTTTTTTCATCAGTAGTGTTTGAGTGATGCACACTATGTGTTTGATGCATTGCTTCAGCGAGATGGAGAGTCTAGGAATTCAACGATTACTTCGTAAGGTTCTTACTCTTTCCATAATCAACCACTCAAGTAAATGCTATTGAAACAGTGAAGGTAGAATCTGGTTTATTGTATTTATGAGTATATTTCATATACTTTGATATTACAACATTAAGGTTTAAATATCTTTATATGTGATTTGTATTCTCTTCATAACATTTGTTCTTAGCAACCCTGTTGCCCCTGTTGTAGCCGGCTGATATTTTGCCTCTAAATATGAAACGATCTTTTGTAACTTTTGGTCAGTTGTACTACAAGTATTGATTACCAGTTCCAAATATGAACTGATCTTTTGTAAATTTTGTAACATCTTGAACATTCAGATTAAAGTTTGGATGCCTTTATGATTTGAGTGTAGTAAAAAGGTGGCAGTTTCTTTGCCCAAAACTATTCCGGCCATGCATCTATGAACCTTGAGCCCAATGACTGTCTTTTTTTCCATGGCTAACTTTAGTCTATTTTGCAGAATAAGCGATATACAATTCAGAATGGATCTCTAGATTGGTAAGATTGACATATGGCATATTTGATAATCCTCTTATTACTTCATTCTTTTTTGTTTCGTATTTTTTTCAGGTGTTGATTTCATAAGGAGTTTGTTATGTTGTCAATAAGCTACATCACCCAGATTCAATATAAGGCGACTAACTCCAACAAAATAGGTACGCAACCTCAAAGAAGTTGTTGCAAACAGATAAAAGAATTGCAGGCAACCTCAAGTTTCTTTGATTTACTTCTCTCTTCAAAGTTTGATATGGTCCAAATAAATTGTTTTCTACAGAGAGTATTTATCGTATACTCCGTATTAGATTGGATAATGCTGCACTTCTATGTTTTAGTATTATGTTTGTGATGTGCAAGATATCAGCAGTTGAGATTCAATCTTACAAGTGTAGAGCACCATTCATTACAGTTTCTTATATACTGAAGGTAGTTTCTATCAGGCTTTTTTGGTTGTGCTTATAGACTCTTTTCTTTGCTATTGCTGGAATATTTTTGTTTTGTAGTTGGTTTCCAAGGATTTCCATTACACCTTTGGAGGGTTTAATATATGATTTTAGTTGGACTTTCATTGTTGATCACACTTAGAGCCTTTTATTTTCTATGAGATTGGTTTCAAATGGTTTGTACATTATCAACTATCAATAGATAATTGAATTTACATATTCTTGGGCCTGGTGTGGATCAAATCACAAGTGTAGATTGCTTTTATTCCAGCCCAGGAATTTGATTTGCTATTGTATTATACCATTGACTAAGGCAGCATATGAAAGAAGGAAGCAAACTACCAATGGTGGCAAAATAATCAACTTGGGGATTGGTGACTTTGGGATGTGGCTTCAAGTGTTTTCTGTGTCTAGATGCCAACAAAGAATTTTTGGTTTTCAGCTGATGTTTTGAGGTTTTGGCTCTGTCATTGTGTTGTGAAGACATGGTTGCATATATTTTGGTTTTTTGATGATTTTTGGTTGTATGTACATATTCCAGGTTGTGGCTTTGGCAAATATAGAATTGATGTTCATTTCTTTATCAGAGTTGATGCAGAATAGTGGCCTTCATAGCGGAGGACCAAACAATGCTAAAGCTGAAGATGTTGTGGCTATGTACACGCTCGACGTTTGCTAGAATGTGAATACTATGGATTTTTGCTTTTCGGTTACATTTGTATTGGTTTTAACTTTTAGTTTGTATTTTTAGGCTTATTTTTTTTGGAGGGTCTTTTGTTTGGTCCTCCCCTCTTGTACTTTTCTTAACATCCATTTTTAATAAATGCTTTATCTTCTCTCTCTCTCTCTCTCTCTCTCTCTGTGTGTGTGTGTAATGAAGGGATATTTAATGGTAAAAAATATAATTATGAATAATTTTTAATACTATTAATTGGTATTTAATTACGAAGGGAATTTCTTTCATTAAAAGTTTATTTTGATGAAGGTATAAGTACTCTCATTAAATAGTTTTTAATGAGAGGAACTAAAGCCCATCATTATTTATAATTAACTACGGAGGCTATAGTGACGGGTGATGAGAGTAAAATTCCTCTCATTAAAATGCTTTAATGAGGGTATTCTTTACTTTAGCTATGGTTTGTACTCACACTATAGGACATTTTTCTTGTAGTGCGAGTAGCTTCTCAGCCTGCAGCCTGCCTCCTCCATCTGCGGCCGCATTATCGCGAGCACAGACACAAAGGCTGCGCATGTCCAGGTTCTGCCCCTTGGGGATCTGGTCGGCTTTCTCGCACCCTTCCGGCAGACCGGCTTCCGCCCACGGGAACAGGACCGCGTGGACCCGGATCATGAACCCGGATTCGAGCATATATAGAGAGTTGATTAAAGAATAATTTGCTTAAATAGGACTAAAACATAATGATTTTTCCAATATAGGACTATATGTTTTTATTTTCTAATGTAGGACTTTTGGTCATTATGAGTTAGTCATTATTCAAGTAAATGTCCATCATTACTGGACATTATTCCTCCCTCTAAGAGATTAATAAGTTCTATTTAGGGAAAAAAAAGTTTAAGTACTAGATTAGTAAAGTCATTATGTTTTAGTTCTATTTAGTGCAAATTTCACTTGATGAATTAGGCGTAGTTAAACTCCCTCCTCAACTCCCTCGAATGTACGATGTATATGAAGGGAAAAATAATACGAGTAATAATAATAATAATAATAATAATAATAATAATAATAATAATAATAATAATAATAATAATAATAATAATAATAATAATAATAATAATAATAATAATAATAATAATTTGGGGCAAGTAGTACTACCTATAAAATATGAAGATATGATAGGGTTACCACTATTTTTTCTTTCTTTACCTATTATCTCATATTTATTCACTAATAACTGTATATCACATTTTATTTTTATTATCATATCAAGGGCAAAATTAGAACGTCAATTACAAATATAAACTCCCTATCTTAAAACTCCCTATGTCCCCAAATAAAGTTTCATTTTTGACTTTTTAAGGATTTAAGAGAGGAATATTTTTGTGTTAGCTTTCCAAAAATACCTTTAATGTGATGTGTAAAAGTAAGATATGATATGTAGATTAATAGTAAAAAGGTATGATGTGATAGATAGAGTATGAAAAAATGAGAGGTAAAAGAGAAGTTTATTAATTTTTCATTATTCTTGATAATTAATAAAATAATAACTAATAATAATTATTTTTCAACATTTTTCTGTTCTATGTCACAATATGCATGGGTAAGAGTTATATTTAAAAGGAAGAGATAGTCTTTCAAAAAAGTGAAATTTGCATTCAAAACAAATTTAAAACATCCATTAATTTAAAACATCCTCAATTTGAATTCAAAACAAATTTCCAACGTTCTTTTCCAAAGTGAAATTTGTTTGGGCCCGAGTACTCCGTTCATCCCATATATTCAGGGGCGGACCAAGAACTTTTAAACCACGGGGTCGCATTTTAAGAAATTCATATCAAATCGTAACATTTCTAAAATTAAATAGTACTCCCTTCATCCCTATTAGGAAGTATGATTAAATTAGGATACTTCTTTACTTTCCTACTAAGATTATTCTTTCCTTTCCTACTTGTACTTTGATTACTCTTGTATTTCCTATATATAGGGCCATATCTCTCAATATTCAATAAGTCAAGTTATTATCAAATTGTATCATGGTATCAGAGCTAAGGCTCTCAAAAACCTAGTCTCTCTTTTTTTCCGACTGCCGCCCACCATGGCAGCCCCGTCGGATCCTTTGGCGTCCTTACCCTCTGGAGTAAAACTTTTGCTTCGGAGTCTCCACAACTTAATCCCAGAAAAACTCACCGAAACAAATTATCTGGCATGGTCTCTCAATGTCCAGACAGCTCTTTCAGCTAATCTCCTCCTTGGATGGATTGATGGTCATGAAGCAGCCCCGGCGCCAACTATCTCCAAAAACGATAAAATCGTCCCTAATCCAGAGTATACCTCCTGGACCATCGTTGACACACAGATCCGCGCCTGCCTCCTAGAGGTCATCAGCCCCTCCGTTCACAAACATGCTCGCGGCTTCACCACATCTGCTGCCCTCTGGGATGCTTTGGCCGCGCGGTACAACTCCGTGTCCACCGCTCATATTTATCAGCTTCGGGACAAACTCCACACTCTTCGTAAAGGTACCAAAATTATGACACAATACCTTGATGATGTGGCAACTATTCTCTCGGATCTCGATGCCTTGAAAGAAGATATCCCTGAACGTGATGTGGTGAATGCTGTTATTCGTGATATTCCCACTGAATACTCATCCTTTAAGCAAAACATTCGCATGAACAATACCAATATTTCGTTAAATCAGCTTTCTGGATGGCTGATCTCTGAAGAAATAAACCTGGAGATGGAGAATAAACTCAGCCTCACCGAGTCTACCATCACCGAACCTCGCACAGCACTTCTCGCTACAAACGGTCGAGGTCGCGGTAGAGGAGGCTACCGCGGTCGACCGTCCCCTGGACGTGGATACAACAGCGGACGTGGAGAAAGGAACAACGGTAGACCGTCCCAGGGAAACGGTCGACCGTCATGGGATCTGCGAGAAACGAGGTCACTCTGCGTCTGTGTGCTGGTATCGATTTGATGATTCTTATATTGCGAACTCCTCCTCCAGTGCTCCCCGTGCAATGCATGCATCTACGAGTAATCATTCTGGAAACTGGTATCTTGACACTCGTGCCAACACCCATGTCACGTCTGATTATTCTCAGCTACAATCTCCTCATCAATACTCCGGTACTGATGCTATTACCGTAGGCAATGGTCAATCCCTACCCATCACACACTCTGGCTCAGGTTTTGTCCATACTCCTAATGGTAAATACCACCTTTCTACTCTTCATTATGTCCCTTCCCTTACCTCCAATCTATTGTCTCTCCATCGATTTACCAAAGATAACAACTGCACCCTTGTTTTTAATGCCAATGATTTCCAGATAGTGGACAATCCTACCAACCAGGTGCGGTACAAGGGCCTCTGTGAGCATGGGTTATACACACTTCCTTCCAAACTCCCAACCGTTGCGTATCAAGCTATCCAAGAGTCCACTTGGCATCGTAGACTCGGTCATCCAGCTCCTGCGATTGCCAAATCTATTCTGTCTTCCTTAGGTTTTCAGTTTTCAGAGCCTTTACATTGTGAATCATGTTATGTCTTTAAGTCCTGTCGTTTACCTTTTGAATTGTTTGAACATAAGGCCTCAGCGCCATTTCAATTAATACATTTTGATGTTTGGGGTCCCACCTCTGTTCCTTCCTGTAGCGGTTTTCGATTTTATATCTGTTTTGTTGATGATTTCAGCAAATTTACCTGGATTTATCCCCTAAAACATAAATCTGAAGCTTACTCTATTTTTGTGAATTTTGAAAAAATGATTAAAACTCAGTTTAATTCTCACATCAAAATTTTTCGAAGTGATAATGACAAAGAATTTGTAAATAATGCTTTTGGCCTTTTCCTTCAAACTTTAGGAGTCCTTCATCACACCTCTTGTCCCTACACTCCTGAGCAAAATGGGGTCGCTGAACAGAAACACCGTCATCTCATTGAAACGATTGTTTCTCTTCTATACGACTCTGCTCTCCCGACTACCTTTTGGGTCGAAGCTCTTGCCACAACAAACTATCTTATCAATCGTATGCCCACCAAAACTCTCTCTTACAAATCTCCCTTTGAAACTCTTTATAACCGTCCTCCTACATATACCCACCTTCGTCCTTTTGGTTGCTTGGTCTATCCATGGCTTCGCCCTTACACTCACCACAAACTTCAACCACGCTCCACTCCTTGTGTCTTCTTAGGATATCACCCCACTACTAAAGGATATAAATGCTATGAACCCGTGTCTCAAAAAGTTTATGTTTCTCGTCATGTTCGGTTCGTCGAGGATCAGTTTCCATATCCCAAATTATCATCCCTCCCGTCACCCTCTCCTACAACCCCTATTTTTTCTCCAAGCCCAAGCTCACAAGCTCCTGTCCCACCGACGGTCCAACCCCAGACCCGTCCCACCAGTCACGGACGACCGCCCGACACCCTCCCTATAGACACGCCACAGACAGTCTTACCCCAGAACCGTACCCCAACCCACGCTCGACCGTCACCTACTCCTCCCCAAAACACACAGCCGGTTAACCGACCCCCGCCCCAAAACACACACACCATGCAAACCCGAGCCAAATCTGGAATTTTCAAACCTAAAGCCTATACCATTACCACCCTTGATACTACCCCACCTACCACTGAGCCTAGCACTTACCACCAAGCCTCTGGTAATAGTTTTTGGTGTCAGGCTATGGATGAGGAGTTTATTGCTTTGAATGAGCAACGTACATGGGACT